ACTGTTAGATATTTATTGTCAAGTAAGATATGGATAATATAAATCTGTTGTGAAAAAAATTTGTTGATTTTCAAAATACCGGAAAATGCTTTACCAGTCCTTGCAATACAAACATTTTGTGGTAACAACTTTGCAGGATCAATGTTTTTTTCAAGCGTCAAATCGTTTTGCAGTAAAATAAACTGAATTTTTTTTTGTTACTATAAATTTCTACTTAGTCCAGCAGTCTAAATGAATATAATGAAGGCATATTTCGTCATAAGTAACATCTTATCTATTTTAGAAACTGTGGAAGGGAAAGCATTCATTGCAATACAAATAAAGAGCACAGCAAAATTCCACCATTCTCAGCAAATAATAACTGTGGTGCAGCTGTTTCCACGTTCGCATGCAATCCCGTCAGGGAAGCAGACTGATATCTCTCGATGCAGTGGTTTAAAAAATAATAATAATAATAGTCTCATTTTCAACCACTGCTATTTTTTCACCCGTAGCACTACACTTATTAAATTAATTTGCGAGGAATTCCAACGCTGATAAATCGAAGGGCCTGGCATATCTGCACTGGGCATTTGGGAGCATTCGAGTAAAACTACGAAATTGTAACTCTCACACCAATTGTCCGGTCAGTCTTGGTATTCTTGATAAGTCCTCTTTAGATATCCGTAAGATATAAAGCAGTCATATCCACTATTTCATTTTACGTGACTATACACACTTGTTTTCATTTTGCTGCTGACTTTCGTGAGTCTTCATTCGGGAATTCGTTGGAACATTTTTTTTAGCTACGCTAGAACACAGTCATGTTTGTTTCTCATGACCAAAAATGAGAAAAAAAAATATAGAGGAAAACACATGGATAATGTAGATCTGTCGTCATTTTTATCGCTCATTGTTCAGTTACTTAAAAAGTGTCGAATATCAAGTGCAAGAGTAGCAGCGAATAAAGCTCGCTTACACTTCAAATAAAATTTTTCAATAACTGCAGCAAATTCTAGGGTGACCAATGATCTTCTTGCAGCTGATAACGATCACAGCATTCTGCATAATAGTGGCACTCGGCGTTGATGAGCTTTTGCTTCTGCAAGTGGTAACTTTTGCCTTACAGTGACTGAAAAATACATTTCCAAAGCTGCTCGATAAATCCACTAAAAGTGTATTTGAGGCCTGGAGGCATGGCGATCGAGCTCCATTAGCAATATGTAAGGGTGATTCGACAAAGGAAAAAGAATGGCCGCAAGGGCTCGGAGAACTGACCGCGGTAAGCTTGGTGTGGTTTTGACACGTTAGCTAGCCAAAAGACTAGAAGAGAAATGATTTTTGAGGCGAAAGCTGTGTTCTGAGTTTTTTTTTTTTTTTTCCATGATTTTCGCCATCTACTCGCCGCAAATCTGTTAGATTCAGTTACTAGGCCCTAGAATGTATGACTTAGTGCGTATGACTCAGTTACCAAGCTCATCATCAGAACCATGTATCAAATGTACAAGCGTTCTAGCAAATAAAGCACATCCTTCGTCATTCGCTTATGACGGATTGAAGAACTTGGAAATAGTCAAGTGGCAGCATGAAAAGTTGCAAACACCTGCTGACAAGCTGTCAGTGGCATTTTTCTGCAAGGAATCAGAAACAAAGTTGTGACAGGACTGACTCCTCGGCAAGCGCCAGTATCAGTTCACCATCGAAACGAATGAACGAATCGTAAAGAGAATCTCACTAGTGGAGTTAAACTGTCACCTACAGTACGAGCAGCTCTGCCTACGGTCCTACTGTATCCTTCGTGAATGAAACTTTATTTTACAAATGAGTCTGGGATGAGAGGGACCGAGCCACTCGTCTTCAGATCTCGGCTACTACCTTCGCACCACCGGCCTTGTTTCCCAGCATCAGTCTGGCAGTACTGTTACTGTATATCTGTCTTTAGAACAGCATACATTTTATGCGTTTTTTGCTGCTATGCAATGCATAAAACTCATATTGACAAGGGGTTGTTTGTGTGTCCGTGTGTCTGTGTGTGCATCTGTCACGCACTTTTTTCTCAAGACCTATAAAAGCTGCGGGGCTGAAATTTCGGAAAATTAGCCCACAT